CCCATAGGTCAGTGATGGTAAACCTTTTAGAGACTGAGTGCCCAAACTGCAACCCAAACCCACTTATGTCTCATCGGGTGCCAGGTGGGTGTGGCCCATTGGGTGGGCATGACCCATTGGTGGTAACAGCAGACTGGGTGGGACTAAAAAGTTCAACCAATTCCAACTTTGCAAGATCTTTTTTTCCCCGCGAGAAGTTGAAATTGATTGATTGATTGAACCTTTTTTTTTTTTTGCACACGGCGGCGGAGGCCTAAAACGAAAAGGTTTTATAAAACTCAGCTGAAGGCCTAGGACTGGGGCGATGGCACGCGTGCCCACAGAGAGGGCTCTGCATGCCTAGGTTTGCCACCATGGCCATAGGTATAACTTTGATTTGTCGATAAGTTTGTCCATCAAATTAAAAGTACGTGGTTATGCAGAGGTTGATAAGATCCGTGATCCTGCATGTTTCAATTTCCTTGTATTCAGTTAAATCGGGTCTCCTGTGGAGCAATGTCATCATAAATTCTTTGGCTAATTCAGGGTCTATGGATGTGAAAAGGGCTGTGACATCAAATCAGACCAGGATTTCATCATCATCTATTGTCATGTCTTTGATTGTCTGAAGGCACGGTAGTGGGGAATTGCTGTAGTGTGTGCTTCTCCCTGTGGGATACTCAAGCTTTTTGTTAATTCTTTCACGATGGTATAGTTAGAGCTCCCTGGTAATGATACAATTGTACAGAGGGATGTGTCAAGCTTGTGTATTTAGGGCAGGGGTGTCAAACTCAATTTCATTGAGGGCCGCATCAGTATTGCAGTTGCCCTTCGGGGGGTCGGGGGGTGTGGCCAGGATGGGTGTACCCTACCAGGTGGGCATGGATGGAGTGGGTGTGGCCTACTGGGTGGGTATGGCCAGCTGTACATTATTTGGGTCAAGGGTGCCTGTGGGGTCCTGGCAGGAGTGGGGCAGATCTGAGGGTCTCTGGGAAAAAGGGGTGGGACCAGGGCAGAGCCCATCAAGCCGGATATGTGAAGTAGGCGAGGGCCATTTGCCGGCCACTTCCAGGCGATGGTCCATTTCTTCATTCCTCACAAAGGGTGACACCTCCCCAGCATGCACCCAGGGGCTGGTTCCTCGCAGTTTCCAGACAGCCTTGTGGAGCTAAGACTGAATGCATTTCAGCATAGATGGCTACCACAAAATTGTACATTGGCTCCTGGCCGGCCTGGGCCAGGGCCAAGGCAGAGGGGGCCGTTCCCTCACTGTTTCCAGGATGGCTTCGTGGCCCACATGAAACGACTTCACGGACTGCATCCGCCCCCAGGCCTTGTGTTTGACATGTCTGATTTATGGGCATCTATAGAAGCATGGGAGGATGGGTCCACAGCTTCTTATCCGCCACTGTTCCTCTTTGGTAATTTGGCCTTTCTTGTGAGGTCACTGAGAGTTTTTTGATCCCGTTGTCTAGTTTCTGGGTTGATGTTCACTGGGATGTAGATTATTTCACTTTTTGTATGTATGGGATCTGTTCATAATGTCTATGGTTTGGAAATAAAACCACATGCAGAAATAGTCTATATTATAATGGTGTTTTCTTTCTATTAAATATGCTTTTTTTGCTGCTTTAAGTAATATTGTAAATAGCTGTGCATACACATAACTTACAGCACTTTCAAAACCATTACCTCTTAAGAACATTTTTCAGAACAGATGATAGTATCTTTTCTTTTGTTAATAAAAAGCAGAACAAATGGTTTTCTGAGGTCGCTACGTAACTGCACAAAATAATACTAATGTTTTATTCCGTCAGCTTTATAATACACCTGTCATTTAGGAAGTTTGACCACCCCTTTGAATGCCAGTAAAGTTCTTGGATTTTGTTTCAACATTTTCTGTTTATAGTAGCACATCATATTTGGCTGAGGGCTGCGAAAAAATACAAGTGTGCATCTACTTTGTATTTTATAAAGTATTTACACTATATGCAAAATAAATGTATCCAACTGTCCAAGAACAGATTATAAAGTATAGTTATCTGCAGTGTTTAATCTGTGTAGGTCAGTTCATGGAGATAAATACTCAGACGTGCAATTCATAAGGGTAAGTGAAAAGGATATTACAGGTAGTCCTCAACATACAACCACAATTGAGTTTCTGTTGCTAAGTGAGACACTTGTTAAGTGAGTTTTGCCCCATTTTACAAACTTTCTTGCTATAGTTGTTCAGTGAATAACTGCAGTTATTAAGTTAGTAACATGGTTGTTAAGTGAATCTGCTTCCCCATTGACTTTGCTTGTCGGTAGGTCACAAAAGGGGATCACGTGACACGGCAACTGTCATAAATATGAACCAGTTGCCGAGCATCTAAATTTCGATCATGTGACCATGGGGATGCTGCAACGGTCGTGTGAAAAATGGTCATAAATCACTTTTTGCAGTGCCGCTGTAACTTTGAACGGTCACTAAATGAACTGCTGTAATTTGAGGACTACCTGTATAAAGTATCTCGAGAACTTACACTGAATATTGCAGAGCATTTAGAAATGAAATTTAGTTTCTCCCTCCCGCTTTTTCTGCCTCCACATGAAAGCGTTCGCATTCTGAGGCGGTCACAGAGAAACAGTGAAATATTCCCTGCCATCTGCTGTTCTATATTTTTCATAAGCTTTAACATTTTGATTTTAGAACCTAAATGAGAAGTAAAATGTCAAGTCATCCAGAAAATAATCAGAGGCATAACAACCAAAATGTTAACTAAGCTTGTCTATTAAGAATATGGTTTCTAAGTGACCAGCATCTCCAGTTTAGAAGGTACTACTCTATGCTATGTTTTCTACTTAATTACACAAATTAAGAATCAATTGGTAAATTTTTTGCACAGTTTTAAAATCATGTGCAGTAATCTGAAAGTTTGCTTTATTTTTTAAAAAAATCTTTAGTATTTGGGAAAGTTACTAATTGTAAGGGAAAAGTAAATTTGGCATCTGCAAGAGACGCTTGTTTGTTGTGAAAACTATTAGCTTTCTAATTAGTGTCTTGTACCTCATTAGGAATTCGAGGTTTTGGTCAGTCAAATACAAGTAGTCCTCGACTTAAAACAGCTCATTTAGAGACTGTTCAAAGTTACAACGGCACTGAAAAAAGTTACTTATAACCATTTTTCATACTTGCGACCATTGCAGCCTCCCCGAGGTCATGTGATCAAAGTTCAGACACTTGGCACCTGACTCATATTTATGACCGTTGCAGTATCCCAGGTGATCATGTGAACCCCTTTTGTGGCGTTCTCACAAGCAAAGTTGGTGGGGAAGCCAATTAACAACCGTGTTATGAGAAAGTTTGTAAAATGGGGCAAAAGTCACTTAACAGCTGTCTCACTTAGCAACATAAATTTTGGACTCAATTATTGTCGTAAGTTGAGGACTACCTGTACTGATTTGGTAACTAGAGATTTAGCATCATGTATCTATCTAGTCTTCAGGGGCAATTTAGCTTTGTATTTCTGTTTCAGCCGTGGGCATCAGCTAGAGCAGGGATAGGCAACCTTGGCTCTTTTATGACTCGTGGGCTTCAACTCCCAGAATTCCTGAGTTAGCGCTGGCTCAGGAATTCTGGGAGTTGAAGTCCACGAGTCATAAAAGAGCCAAGGTTGCCTACCCCTGAACTAAGGGAACATGTTACAGGCATAAGATGGTCAGTATGGTATATGCAGCTAACGTAATGTCCCAGGAGCCCAGAGAATGGGAAAATGCCAAACATAAGTCTACGCATTTTAATTGATTGTTGCGGGATTTGGCTCTGCTGCTTTATTCAAAGCAGAAATGTTCCCAAGTTTATTAGACTTTTTCCTAAAGTTATTAGGCAAATCCTAAAGAAACCATTGCAAGCAGAGGCTAATTTTATTGCTTCTTATTTATCAGGAGGGACATTCAGGGCGTTTTGAAATGCCATTCCAAGAATAAAAGCACACTGCACTTTTTTCTTCTTTAATTTTATTCTGCTTTCCACTCGACTTTGTTTTTAACACACCAACCTTTATCTGTAGTTTGATAGGAAAGATAAAATCCAACTTACAGGTAGCCCTCAACGTACGACCACAACTGAGCCCAAAATTTATGTTGCTAAGTGAAAAATTTGTTAAGTGACCGTTGCTCCATTTTATGACTTTTCTTGCCACAGTTGTTAAGTGAATCACTGCAGTTATTAAATTAGTAACGTGGCTGTTAAGTCAGTCTAGCTTCCCCATTGACTTTGCTTGTCAGAAAGTTGCAAAAGGTGATCATATGACCCCAGGATGCGGCAACCGTCGTAAGTGTGAATCAGTTGTCAAGCATCCAAATGTAAATCAATTGACCATGGGAATGCTGAAATGGTCATAAGTCACTTTTTTCAGTGCTGTTGTAATTTTGAACAGTCACTAAGTGAACTATTGTAAGTCGAGGACTACCTGTATTCCCAACATTTAATTTTATAATATATGAAAGTATTGGATCACTTAAAAAAATTATAGGGTTTCGCAGATACAATTTATGAATGGTCTGGGAAAGATGAAGATTCTTCTTTTTAAACTTGGTATGTTGCAGGGGTCTTCAAACTTGGCCCTTTTATGACTTGTGGACTTCAACTCCCAGAATTCCTCAGCCAGCATGTCTGGCTGAGAAATTCTGGGAGTTGAAGTCCACAAGTCATAAAAGGGCCAAATTTGAAGAAACCTGGCATTGTCTACAAGTCTCCAATCTTTCCCCATTGTGGCTTAATTCTGACTAAAACTCTTCAGAGGGTTCCTCAGAAAGAAGCGTCATCAGAGATCCAGCTTCATTTTAATGTCTGTTGATAAGAAAAAATAAAACTGAATAAAAATAAAATTTCTGAATTGCTGGTATTTAATCAGAGGTTAAGAAATTTGAGGGAAGGTGCTTTGAAGGTAAGCAGTTTGCTTCTGTTATACAGCCCTGAAAAGTGTAACCTGCATTTAGTATGTATCTAATGCATTTTAATTTCTATTTTATTTCAGGCTCTGCTTGATACTCAGAACCTTCTAAGAGCTCAAATTACAAATTTTACTTTCAATCTGGGATTTTCAGGGAAATTTTACCACACAGGTAAAAATTATTTTCCATTTGTGCACTGCAGATAATTGGAATTTGTTTTAGGTGGCTTCACTTTATGCTATTAAATGAAATGAAAGAAAAGACCTTTGGGACCATTTAAAAAAAGAAAGATTCCTTCAGCAGAATAAAGCTAAAAAAAATTAACAAACTCTTCCTTATGTACAATGTTGTACTTAGCTGTGAGACTGTTGTATTATCTATAGGGATATCATAATTTTAACATTCTGACAGTTTAGTGATGATGCTATCTCATGGACCATGTTAAAATAGTTTGTGTGGATAACAATAATATAGTTAGTAGTATACTACAGTAGAGCAAATAGTAGGGAAATACATAGGAAAGGTTTCTCTTAAACATTTGATCTGAGGGCAAAAAAGAGACTTGACAACTGAGATTTCTAATTCAGAATGTAATAATCTGATGCCCTGCAATCTGTAGACTTACCAATACATATTAGCCATGCTGAAAAATATTTTGAGGAATTAACCTAGCATATCTGCAGGATACGACTCTGGAAAAAGCTTTCTTATATTGAAAAATAGACCCAATATGTACACTTAGTACGTCATGTAGAAATTCTATTCCAGTGATGGTGAACCTTTTAGAGACCGAGGGGAAACTTCAGTGCAACAGGAATTTTATTGTAGCCTTCCCCAGATCTGTGCCTTGCAATAACCCTGTCTGAGCTCTGCGGGCAGTTCCTTTGACCCACGACGTTTGATCTGCTACAGTATGCATTTTTAGCTGTGAGGCCTTCTATAGAGAGATGTGTGCCTTTCCCAATCATGTCCAATCAATTTAATTTATCACAGGTCACTCTAATCAAGGTGTAGAAACATGTCAGCAACAATCAAGAGAAATGGGAGACACTTGAGGTAACTTTCAAGTGTTGTTGCAAAGGGTCTGAATACTTATGCCAATGTGCTATTTCAGTTTTTTTCTTTTTAAAAAATTTATAGACATTTCTAAAATTCTGTTTTCATTTTGTCATTATGGGGTACAGAGTGTAGATTAGTGAGAAAAAAATGAATTTCAACAACTGTAGAATAGTAATAGTATTAAAGTTGGAAGGGACTTTGGAGGTCATCTAGTCCAACCCCCTGCTCAGGCAGGAAACCCTACACCATTTCGGACAAATGGCTGTCCAGTCTCTTCTTAAAACTTCCAGTGTTGGAGCATTTACTGCTTCTGGAGGCAGGCTGTTCCACTGATTAATTGTTCTCACTGTCAGGAAGTTTCTCCTTAGTTCTAGGTTGCTTCTCTCCTTGATGAGTTTCCACCCGTTGCTTCTTGTCCTGCCTTCAGGTGCTTTGGAACATAGCTTAATTCCCTCTTCTTTATGGCAGCCCCTGAGATATTGGAATACTGCTATCATGTCCCCCCTTGTCCTTCTCTTCGTTAAACTAGACATACCCAATTCTAGCAACCGTTCCTTATATGTTTTAGCCTCCAGTCCCCTAATCATCTTTGTTGCTCTTCTCTGTACTCTTTCTAGGGTCTCAACATCTTTTTTACATCGTGGTGACCAAAACTGGATGCAGTATTCCAGGTGTGGCCTTACCAAGGCATTGAAGAGTGATATTAATACTTCACGTGATCTTGATTCTATCCCTCTGTTAATGCAGCCTAGCACTGTGTTGGCCTTTTTGGCAGCTGCAGCACACTGCTGGCTCATATTTAGGTGATTGTCTACTAGGACTCCGAGGTCCCTCTCACAGTTACTACTATTGAGCATGGTGCCACCTATTCTGTACTTGTGCATTTTGTTTTTCTTGCCTAAATGTAGAACCTTGCTTTTTTCACCATTGAATTTCATTTTGTTAGTTAGTGCCCAGTGTTCAAGTCTGTCCAGATCCTTCTGTACCTGAAGCCTGTCTTCTGGAGTGTTGGCTAGTCCTGCCAGCTTGGTGTCATCTGCAAATTTGATGAGTTCCCCATCTATCCCTTCATCCAAATCGTTGATGAAGATGTTGAAGAGTAATGGGCCCAGAACAGAGCCCTGGGGCACCCCACTACACACTTCCCTCCATATAGATGCAGTTCCATTGAGGACCACTCGCTGAGTACGGCCGGTCAGCCAGCTACGGATCCATCTGGTGGTGGTTCTGTCTACCCCACATTTTTCTATCTTGTCAAGTAGTAGGTTGTGATCTACTTTATCAAATGCCTTACTGAAGTCCAATTAAATTATGTCCACAGCATTCCTCTGATCCACTAATTTTGTCACTTGGTCAAAGAATGCAATAAGATTTGTCTGGCATGATCTATTTTTGACAAACCCGTGTTGGCTTTTAATAATGACTTTGTTTGCCTCTAGGTGTTCGTTGATTCGTTGTTTGATTATCTTTTCCAGGATCTTCCCAGGTATTGAGGTCAGGCTGATAGGTCTGTAATTTCCTGGATCCATTTTTTTTCCTTTTTTGAGGAGGGGAACTACATCAGCTCTTTTCCAGTCCTCTGGTAGTTCCCCTGTGTTCCAGGATCTTTGAAAAATATAGTTCAGTGGCTCCGATATCACATCTGCCAGTTCCTTGAGAACTCTGGGGTGTAATCCATCTGGTCCTGGCAATTTGAACTCATCTAGGCTGGACAGGTGCTCACTAACCATTTTCTTGCCTATCTTAACTTGTGTTTCTATTTTGTTTTTGATGGCACTATTTTTGATAGGTTGGTCTGTTTTTTCCCTTTTGTGTAAAGACAGACGCAAAAAATGAGTTAAATAGTTCTGCTTTCTCCCTGTTGCTTGTCACCTTCTTGCCACTTCCACCCACTAATGGACCAATCATTTCCTTCACTTTTTTCTTGTTTTTTACATGTTGAAAGAAGCTTTTTTTGTTATTTTTGACTTTGGTCGCAAGCCTTAGTTTATTTTGAGCCTTGGCTTTCTTCACTTCATCTTTGCAGGCTCGGGCTATTTACTGATATTCTGACTTAGTTATGTTCCCCTCTTTCCACTTTCTATATTTGTCCTTTTTATCTTTCAATTTGTCAGAGAGTTCTTTATGCATCCATGCTGGTTTCTTTTGGGAGCTGTTGTTTTTCCTCTTTGTTGGTATTGTGCTAGACTGTGCTTTTATTATCTCATTTTTCAAAATTTTCCAAGCTTCTTGAGTTGTTTTCCCCTTATAATAAAAACTGACAAAAGTGAAGGGGGGATCTGAATGCTTTCTGAATGCACTGTATCAAGATTATACTATGCAAAAAAGTCATTGTGATTGTGCTGTCATCACAACAACAATTTACAGTGATTATGATGAGAAGCTCATCAAGGACTTAATTAATTTATCTCATATACAGAACACAGACACTATTCAGCCTCTTAGGGACTTCTGAAATTATACATCTACATAATTATCTGAATGTATCTCTTTAAGTTGCCTCATCCCTGAAGTAGCCATATTGTTCTGTCATAGAGTCATCGGTTTTAATGAACTACTAAAATGTAATGATCCCAAGCAGGCTGCTATATCAGTTTGGCTGCCTGAACTGCCATTTCCTTTCTGAACAGCCAATGAAGAGACTGGGAATAGATAGTATTTAAGATATATAAAATGATATTTATTGAAAGCTGTAGGAAATCGATGCTTGTGATTTCAATGTTCTGCACAAGCTTTCAGTCCCATTCACACAATAAGTATTTAATGAATGGGACAGATTCACCCATTAAGGTTTAAGAATAAAGCAATTATTTATAGCTGAGACCGGTTGTGATTTACTCTGTGGTGTCATGTCAATTTGTAAATTAACCACTATACCTTAAGATAAACTTGGACCATTCACCTCTGGCAAACAGAGCTAAAAGGCTTTTTCAGAAGCTGCTTTTCATATCTGCTTCAAGATCGCTTTTTGACAGGAAACATCATATAAGTTTGGAAAAAGGGATGCTAGTTAAAAATAACTTTCTTGAAGGAAAATATTCATATGAAAAACTTTATGGGTTTATGTAATTGAAGTGTATATTACAGATTTTTTTACAATAGTAGTAGTAGTAGTAGTAGTAGTAGTAGTAGTAGTAAAGTTGGAAGGGACCTTGGAGGTCATCTAGTCCAACCCCCTGCTAAGGCAGGAAACCCTACACCATTTCGGACAAATGGCTGTCCAGTCTCTTCTTAAAAACTTCCAGTGTTGAAGCACTCACCGCTTCTGGAGGCAGGTTGTTCCACTGGTTAATTGTTCTAATTGTCAGGAAGTTTCTCCTTAGTTCTAGGTTGCTTCTCTCCTTGATTAGTTTCCACCCGTTGCTTCTTATCCTGCCTTCAGGCGTTATGGAAAATAGCTTGACTCCCTCTTCTTTGTGGCAGCCCCTGAGATATTGGAAGACTGCTATCATGTCCCCCCTCGTCCTTCTCTTCATTAAACTAGACATACCCAATTCCAGTAGCCGTTCCGTATATGATTAGTCCCCTAATCATCTTTATTGCTCTTCTCTGTACTCTTTCTAGAGTCTCAACCTCTTTTTTACATCACGGTGACCAAAACTGGATGCCATATTCCAAGTGTGGCCTTACCAAGGCATTGTAAAGTGGTATTAACACTTATGTTAGTACTTAGCAAGGCTAAAGTCAGGCTTTGGTATTAAAAATATAAAACTTTGCCCATTATATTCTGACAATAGTAAACTTGTATTTATATAAAAACTTTGTGGAATTAAATATAATCAATGTATTCTTAACATATGTAGCAAGTGCTGTTGAATATGTATTTTAGCAAGCTGTAGACCTCAAGAGAAGCAAAATAGATTTATAGTAAGAATGTGATATTTTAAGTGTAATCATAAATTATGTCATGTTTACTCAGGAGCTGGACATGTAAATTAACAGAACAATTTACTTCAGCAAAATATACACTTTCAGTTGTAATTATAATTACTCTTCATAGTTCAATTCAGCTTATTGCAATCATAGACCAGTACAAGCAGAGTGTTCTGTGAATATATACAGATTATCTTAGATGATAAACAAAATAAAATGTAAAGCAAAGTTAAAATACATTTATAAAACAACCCAACAAACATCTATGAGATCCAGGATACAGCCTACAATATGTTAAATTATAATGTAGACACCTTCAGTTGTGACACACAGTAGAGATGCTTGCAAATTATGGCTTTCAGTTATTAAATAAGCAGATATACTGCTTTAATATGCAAATATATTTAAATCAACTATGGTCTTTAACTAAATCAACCTTCTTTTTAAATTATATATTTATCATTCAGTGGCTTATACTTCTGCCCTAATCCTTACTACTTCTGAGTGGTCATTCTGGGAAATATGCCTATCACTGTAGTAGGAATCCAATTATAGGAATCTCCATTACAATCATAGACCTATCACTGTAATAGGAATCCAGTCATAGGAATGTCTGTTACAATCATAGACCAGATTACAGTCAGAATACCTGTTCTTAATACTTGTTGCGTTCTGTCTCAGATAATTGGCTGCTTATGAATTGTTGCTATGAATTTGAGATTGATTTGATCTTTCTGCTGTAATTTGTTGCAATTTAAATGTTAATCATGCTTCCAATAATTGTGACAAAGTTCTTTCAAAAATGGGAATATTATTTAATACATTATTTATTTCTACAGGCACTGTAGAAGAAGATGAAGGAGATGATTTATTGTTGGGGTCTGTTGATGAATTCTGGTGGTTTCCTCATATGTGGAGTCACATGCAACCTCATCTGTTCCATAATGAATCTTCACTAGTGGAGCAAATGATTCTCAACAAAAAATTTGCCTTAGTGAGTTAAATTCATAAATCACAGATTTAGTAGAAATGATATATAACTGATACAGAGTACAAAGTATTTAAATTAAGCATCCCACCTTAAAAATTGAAATTGTCTTGAAGTACAACTTTAATTTATCAATTCCAGCTTAGTTATGCTGCCACTAGATGAAATAATAGAATTATAGAGCAGAGTCATTTATGTTACAGAATATCTGTGTACCTAACACTCCAGTAACCGTGGCTGCAATTTATTAAAAGAATCCTCCATACAAATGCATGCCCATCACACTGTTGTTCCCTTTTGAAGTAAGCAGAACTGTGCATCGTACTGAAACAGAATGAAAAGCAGTGAGCAAAATAAATTAAATGCATAAAATAAGAGAAAAGAAAAAGATTTAACTCATCCTAGAATACCCCAACACCGTTCATTAAACCACTTCATATCTTTCTTGTTTCCACCACATCTTTATACCATTTCATAAATTGCCTCTAAACTTCTCACTTCTCCCTTTTTGAGGAACTTCTTACTCCTACAACTTCTCACCAGTTTACAACTTTCTTAGTCTTCCCTTTTTCCTTTTGATCCATTCAAGTATTTGTACTATGATTCAGTATCCATTCTCTCATTCTGTATTATCCAAATTAACCACAGAACGCTTCTTTCATAATGATCACTTAGTTTATATTTAATCTACATTCAATTCATCACCCATTTATAGATGATAACACAATCATTTAAATTTATTTGAGAAACTTTCCTCACATCCGACCACATTATACACACTGATTTCTCCATCCATTATCCTTATGTTTAGTAAACATACTCCCAAGATAGATGGATTCATATAATGATATAGATTAGAGTTGGTATAATTTTTCATTATGTTTAAATACCTTGTAATTACGACCACATTTTCCCTGTCAAACACAACTTCCCGAGTTCTTAATACATTAATTTTCAAGTCCATATGTCTTTTTGCATCAGGCAATCTGTCTAACATTCGCAACAAATCATTCAGTTCCTCAGCCAAGAACAAGGCATTTGCCTGTGTACAAAAATACATACACATGCATATTCGAAATCACACCTCTGAGATCACAAAAATGATTCCTTATATATGTTCCGTACATATAGTTGGATGAAACAGTTGGTTAAATTTTGTCACACACAACTTGGACTCTGAGGAGTCTGATGCTAAAGAGATTCACGGTATGGATGACACTCCGAAGAATCAGCAAAGTACCTGAGGCCGACACTGCTGACAGTCATTTGGAGCAACTGAATAGGAAGCAGATGACAAGGATCTGAGGAGCAGCCCAGTGCACATCACACCCTTTAACAAAAATAAGTAGCATTCAGCACTGTTCATAATTAATTCCCACCAAGGGGTTGCTTTATATAAAGCTAAGATGTACCTATGGTGCATCTTTCTTGGGGACAACCACTCTAGCCTAGAACCTACAAAGTCATGCCTCAGAACTCTTGGATCCTGAAATTCTGCTACTCTGATCTCGGATCAGCTGTTGAACTTCCTATGAATCCCTTGGATTTTGGATCACGGCCTGATAAGCTATTGTTCGATGTTTTAGAGTTAGACTCATTTTCAGGCAAATTTGTTTGTGTGTACTTTGCTCAAATGTGCACGTGACACCAAACGTACTCACCCTGACAGCCATTGCCTTCGTGTTTTTATGAAGTAACTGTTGAAGCCTGTGGTATATGCTTGTTCTGAAACAGGACAAAGCGTACATTTAAATGAAATCAGTTCTCAGCAAGTGAAGCAGCAAATGTGTGGAAAAGCCTGAAGAATATGTTTGGATACAGCAGACCTCCCTCCCTTGTGGAAGAGAATCGGCAACTGGCAGATGATCTGTATGTGCTCCACTGCACTGTGGGTTTGAGAGGAGATCCCTATCAACTATCACTACCCTCCCCATATTAAATATACCAACAATAGCCAAATCTCCTACACTTATCTCCATTCCTCTGGGGGCCCCACCTCTGATGATCTTAGAAAAAGACGTGCGAGGTCTGTTTTATAGGCAAAAGATAGGAAAAACACCAGGCCAAGGCCTTTCCTTCTTGAAAGCCTGGGCTGATCAACTGGCCCCCATCTTTACTGCATCTTTAATAAATCACTGGAAATGTGTTATGTTCTTTCTTGCTTCAAATGTTCTACTATCAAATGTTCTACTTCTCAAGAAACCTTCCATCACAGAGCTGAGTGACTACAGAACGGTTGCTAGACCGATTGCTCTGACACTTGTAGTTGTGAGGATTGAACTGCCAAACTGCTGGCAGTGAGCAGAAGTAGCCTACAGTATTGCATACCACTGTGCCACCATGGCTCCTAAGGCACAGAATTTCCAAAATTGTATTCATTTTCATCTTTGGACTCTTTCAGTTAGTATTTCCCAGACAGGCTAGGGGAACAATAATGGCACTACTTGAATCATCAGACACAGATGCGGGCTTCACATAAATATTAAACAAATCAATAGACTGTTTGCTTTTTTTCATTTCCCAATCCATCCTGTACATGTGTCATTTTTTGGCGGTCTGCCATTCAAATACTGGACATGTCTGACCCTGGATAGTTTCTCCTGATTTATGCAAAGCAGTTAGGTGCTGCCACCTACCCAAAGATCGTTCTCCATACAAAACACTGAAAGTACTTGTCTTAATTACTGTAAGTATAAATGATAGTCATTGTCACTATATAAAGAATATAGTTTCATGCATTGTTATTGAATATACTCACTTTGCAATAACTGAGAAAATTCTGATTTTTCAAAAGTAATATTGATGCTTGATTGATTGATTATATTTTTAATTATACCTGAAAATTGAAATATCCATTTTATAAACATACAGAGTGTATCCTACATTTTAAAAAATCTAAAAAGTTGCATCCAAGTGCTATATTAATACTCCTATACATTTCAAATTATTTCCACAGCAATACATACCCCAATTTTAAATAATTATACAAAGAGGTCAGATGGAGGTCCAATGAAAAGAAGTGCCATTAGCACTAACAATAATGAGAGTTATGTAGAAATACAGTTCCACTGTGTTTATTATAAATGACTTCCAAACAAGATTTTCTTGCATCCGATCAAAAACCCTTCAATTTTCTGAAATCCGTAAAAATACTTTGCACCCTAAAGCCAATCTAAAGCTAGTGTTCCCATACAATGTATTATGTATACACTAACCATTAGAACCAGAGAGAGGCATTTAAAACATAATTTTTAAAACAAACCTAATATTACATTACATCACTCTTGCTGTAATTCACACAAAAATTGGAGTTATGTAGAAACAAAGCTGTATTGATTATTGTGCAACAAGCAGTGTTCCTTGAGAAAACTTGTATTTCGGTTCATCAAAAAAAGCATTAAGAAGAAACTCGGTGCCAATCAGCATATTGCCTTGGCATTTATTAGACATTTAAATTTAAGCAGGCAAAAAAAGTATTCAAAATTTCACAGGAGTCTCCATGTTAAGCTTTAAAGCATATGCCTTACAGTGGGAACTGATTTGCCATTATCGGAGAAACTGGGTGTTCAACCAAGATTTAAAAATAAACTACTTATTTTAATTAACAAGATGGCCCTAGGAGGGGTTTATTTGCATATTAGCAGATAAAATGTTTTGATAGGAAAACATATATAAATGTTATACGATTTTACATTATCACATCAAAAGAGAAATCTTGTTGGCATGCTGGTTGAACTACAGCTAAATTAAGCTCATGGAGATAGAGCAAAGAAAACAGAAAGCCTATAAAATATTGCACCATATCCTAGATAAAACAGGAAGTGTACAAAGCTAAAGAAGCTTTGCATGTAGGTCTTGAAATTGACCTGAATAATTGCATTGTTTGGATAAGTTCATACTTTTGTAGGAGGACGTGCTCATATGTGTGCATTGATTCCTATCCTTCATATAGGATTTTATTTTGCTGTTTCAGGAACATGGCATCCCAACTGATATGGGATATGCTGTGGCTCCACACCATTCCGGCGTCTATCCTGTTCATGTTCAACTTTATGATGCCTGGAAAAAAGTTTGGAATATCAAAATCACCAGTACAGAAGAATATCCACATCTAAAACCTGCACGGTACAGAAGAGGTTTCATTCACAAAAGCATCATGGTGAGCTATGTTTTTGGTTGGTTGGTTGGTTGGTTGGTTGGTTGGTTGGTTGGTTTTTTATCCTGGCTTTTCTGATTATATGTCAATATATATTATACATTATAAGTATTATTATACCAAATGTTCACATTATCTGAAGAGCTATTTTTCGTTTATTATGCCCTACCACCAGATTGTAATGTATTTCAGCGCCCTTTATGTTAAAATGGCTTCAAAGATGGTTTGAAATTTTTAAACTTGTCAAAATGTGGCTAGCATGGCTGAAAAGCAGTTAGAGCTGGATGCTCAGCCATCTCTTTTACCTAACCATTGATTCTATACTCAGTTGAAGAGGCTGATGTTAACTTTAAGGATTATGGATGGGAACCTCCGTCTTAAAACTGCCTGTTTATTGAGGGGATGGTACTTTGAGATCAAATTCAGAGACTTTTCTAAGTATCTCATTGCTATTAGAAATATATTTGGTAGCCTTGGAGTGCAAATCTGAGTGTATAGCTGTATATATTTTAGTTTTATTACATATCAGTGTTTAGGATATTGAGTTAAATTGTTAAAAGTATGCAAAGCATTGTCAAGCAGAGAAAGTTAAAGTACTAGGTACATATAATGTTAATGTTATATTTATACATAAACATTCATAGTTTAAATGAAAAATATCTTCTGTCTGAAAGTGGTTGGATGGGCCTATCCTATTTTATGGTAATAGTACTAAAGTTGCTGAAATTACTATGTTTTTTCTGGTTATTTATAGATCTCATCAGTAAGTATTTGGAGTTTTGTCCCACTCTTTGTATCATTTATACTTAAATGAACTTCACTTGTTTTCCCAGTCATCTTTTTAAAGAGATCCTTCTGGTGTATGTTTGGTATTTACCATCCTGAACCATTATCTACAAATTTGGCCTGCTCCATCTTTAATCCTAAATGAATTTAAAAACCACCAGTCCCAGTCCAGAAGCCTGTGGATCAATATTTTCTTCTATTCACAAAAATGATGATTTATACTTAGTCTTTGAGATGTTTTTTCTACCCAATTACTTATCCAATTTTTTTTATAATCTTCCCTTTTTTTGCTATTACATTTATGCACCACCTTTTATTGATAGAAACACTACAATATCTAACAACAAATTAAAAATAATATAAAATGTAATAATAAATAATGATACATAAAATGTAATAATAAACTCAGCATAATTTGTTTTTTGAAAGCTTCATTTTTATTCCTAAATAATTTGAGAGTTGGTTCCTAACACACACACACACACACATACACTCCCTCCCTCCCCCCCATCTCTCTCTCTCTCCCTCCCCCCCCCTCTCTCTCTCTCTATCTATCTATATATATATATATATATATATGTAGGTCTTTGGTTGTTCGGGTTTTCTCCCGCGTAAAATTGGAAGTGTCTTGGCGACGTTTCGACGAAGTCCCATTCGTCATCTTCAGGCTGGTGTTTTCAGCTTCGTGCTTTGAGCACGAAGCTGAAAACACACCAGCCTGAAGATGACGAATGGGACTTCGTCGAAACGTCGCCAAGACACTTCCAATTTTACGCGGGAGAAAACCCGAACAACCAAAGACCTACATACAAATACCCGCGAAAACCTCAGAAAACAAATATATATATATATATATATATATATATATATATATATATATATATATATATATATATATATATATGATATTTGTCAATAATATCATTAAAAATCCTGGGTATAATCATACTGCAAAAAACAAACCAAACATGAACACCAGGAAAAATTTAAACTAGAAAAGTTTAATAAATTACCAAGCTTTCGTCGGAAAACTACCGACATCGTCAGGGCTTAATGTTAGTCAATAGGAGAAACTCGGCTCCTGGACCTCGTCACCAGTCCTAGCCGATTGGGCTGTGTTTTAAACGTATCCTTAGTGTTGATATTTATACTTTTTCTACTCCCCTTATCTGTATATGTATCACTACTCACCCCCTCATTACAGGTTCTTAAACCAAACGACACCCTCCCCCCCTTTTTTTGGCTAGCCATTGCCTCCGTGCTCCTTCCCCCCTTTTTCTTGCTATACGCTTTATCCAAGTTCCCGTTGTTATTTCTCCCCCCATTGGGCTGTGTGTTGGGTGTCTCCTCCTGCTCTTTTCCTTCCGTTCTCCTCCCCCCATCTACGTGGGTGTAATCCATGTATGTATCATTCCTCTTGGCTTCTACTCCCTTCACCCCTTTTTCGGTGCTCTTTGTATCCGTATCATCTCGAGCGTCGCTTCATGATTTTTGTTGGGATCCACGGTTCCTGCTCAATGCTGGGCGTCCGCGTTTGCCTCCCACGGGGGCTCCATCATGCTGCATGCGTGGATCCACATGTTCTTCACCCATGGTCCTACGCATGCATACCGAATGGGCTGATGGAGTAACTTTCTTCCCTCTTAAGAGCAAGCGAGCTGTCATCGTGGGGCTGCCAGTTCCATATCCAAGCGGCCCCCCCGGCTCTGTCCCCACCGCCTCCGTGTCTCAATGACGCAGTGCCCGTCATTGATATTATATTAGAAAGTGCCATAGCTTGAAAACCATATAATAAACAACCTCTTCCTACTTATCAAATAGCAATCTTCTGGCAACAAGAATCTTTATGAGGAACTTTGTCAAAGGCTTTTAAAAATCCAGGCACATAAATTTGAAAAGTCCATATGCCAGCTGACACTGTCAAAGATATCTTGAAAGTTGAGTTAGTATTTCCTTTGGTGGCATCCACGCTGACTTTCCATCAACATGTCTTATTTCTCTACACTATTACTTTTTAGGTATAACAAAAACAATTCCAAACCATTCTAAATAATTAATTTTTAAAAAAACAAATTACTGGGTGTACAGAAAATCTATCACACCTCTTCATGTAGGTCCTCTATAAAAATATTCTATTTCCACTATACATATTGGCATGCTGTTATGGAATAGTCTAGTGATCTCATAGATAGTGAACCATTCTTTAATAAAACTGACTGACAATAATATGCTGGTTGGAAGAATCCTATATTTTAAGGGTTGTTTTACTGACAAATGATCACTTTTTGATCATTTATTTGAAAGGCTATTTCTTCCAAGTCCAATATCAGACAAAGAGATGGAAAAAAAGAGAAAGCAACAGGAGTTTTGAAGTTATCCCTCAAGGGTTAATAATTGGAGAATGCAGGCAAACATATCACCTAATTATAATACCGTGGAATTTATTTTATTTTTATTTAAAAGTCTAACAATTATTTTTAAATTGGCAACTACATGTATGTATTAACTTATATGCAGATCTACTATATACAGCATTTTTGAATGGTGCTTTTTTAAAAATTTCCCACTCTTTTAATGATATGTAGGTGGTCTTTCTTCCTGACAAATGTGCTGTTTATTTTGTGTGGTTTCATATTTTGAAATAACATTAAAATAATAGTCAAGTCTATAAAATATAGTTCAGACTTATAGAGGAGAATTATAAGGGTAAGCTCCTATTACTTGCCCCAGCTCCTGCTCAACTAGCAGTTTGAAAGCATGCAAACGCAAATAGATTAATAGGTATCACTTCAATGGGAACGTAACAGCATTCTGTGCACCTTTAGCATATATCCATGCTGGTCACATAACCACAGACAATGTCTTCAAACATTGGCCAAGACACAGAGATGTAGCACTGTGTCCTAGAGTCATTAGCTAGCTGATGCATTCTTTTTCCTTTTCTTTATTATTGTATATAATCTTGTACAGGTTCTTCCTCGACAAACCTGTGGCCTTTTTACTCATACAATTTTCTACAAGGAGTATCCTGGTGGTCCAAAAGAACTAAACAAAAGTATACAGGGCGGAGAATTATTTTTCACAGTAGTTCTCAATCCAGTAAGTAGTTTAAATTATTTGAACAAAGATAATTTCTGAGCATACCTTAAGAAATATTAATAGCATTGTTTCATTCTTTTTCTTTAGTTGTATTGATGCTGTATTCAGTAGTACTTGTAAATATTATACAAAGTTTGAATAATCTCCATAATTTATTAATATTTACTATTCTTCTTATTACTTTAAGCCAATGATGTTAGCATGTATTTTTGGAACAATAAACACAATTGAAATGACACTAAATGGTCATCCTACAAATTTCTTCTACAAATTCTACAAATTTCAGGTTATAAATAAATTATTTTAATTACATAGAATTTTCTTCTTGTTGTTGTTCCATATCCATTATCGGACGTTGGTGATCATGTTGGCGATAGACGGTAATAAAATATCCTTTTCATGTCTACAACAATATATTTATATGGATTTCACTATAATTGAATATCTATATAATCAGGATTTCAGGTTAAGCTAAATTTTGGTGATTCGGGTTTTCAGCCATTCTAGCAACTGCAGGGATCATGAGGTCATAGCCGAGAAGCATTCTGGTATCAAGGATATGGCTAATTGCACAATTCTGTTCCATGGTCATTGAATGTGTTCCACTTTAAAAAAAAACAGCTTAATGAAAATGAGAATCCAGTTCAAATAAGTATGCAAGGAGCAGTGTGGTTCTTTTTTACAACCCCCAACCCCACCAAGTTTCCCACATGTTAGAATTGACTAATGTGTAGGTGTGTAGGAAAAATTTTAACATTTAAAAATATTAGTAGCTTTTGCAGGTCACATCTTCCAGTCTGGATGTATCCCCATTGTGAGCAGAAATGAACAGAATTGGTTTTTTTAATATTCATTCTACATAAAACATCTATTGCTGTTATTCACCTTTTATAGTTTAAGAATAAATGTATTAGAAATATTTTAAGGGGGAAAATGGAACCTAATTTTAGACACACAGAATTGTATAAAAATTGATAATGAAGTCTGTACCATTAGGATAAAAGTGGCTTTCAAGGACAAATGAGGTATTCATATAATGAAAAGAGATGTCACGTTTCTTAGGGTTGTTTTTTTTTCAGTATATCCAAAACATATAAATTACACATTACCATTTGTGAACATTTGAACATTTCAGTTTTTCTCAAGCATTATAACTTTCCAATTATTCAGACTAAGGAATGTAAGGCCTATTGAGAAAACCATTCTTTGCTAAATCTATTTACCAGAAATGGAAGAGCTTTTGTGCTGAAATAGTTCATCTAGCAAATTCCTAATATGTGCGCATTTATGTGGAATTGGTTTATGCTCCCCATATTGCTGGCTGATAGTAGCTATAAAATTATTCTGGCAGTAAAGCCCGTTATGTTCATAAAGCATGTAGACTGTTTAAATTCCATCATGTTGTATAAAGGGCATTGGGAGTTCATAGCACATCTAGTTTTAATACTAGCTACCTCTATGAAAAGTATGATCTACCTGATCAGGTAGACCTGATAAAGTAATCAATGCCAGGGGACATTTTAATTTACAAAGTGGAAAAAAGAAAAGCTTTCCTATTACTGATGCTGTTTAAAGAGGGGGCATGTTTTAAAAAAATGCAAGTTTGTTCCATTCTTGATGAAAATTTTCACCTAGGTTACCATAGGTGTATATTACAGAACACCCTATCCAAACAGAACAAATAGATGAACTTTTTGCCAGTTAGCTAAGGTCTTCCGGAAGCACACTGGCCACAACCTAAACCTCTAAATAGAAACAATCGTTGGCTCCGTTTGTTGAGAAAGATATAATTTTATTAGGGTGTATTAATAAGGTGTACTGCAATATTTCATAGCCAGAACTGAGAATTGTTCACTCAAATTCCTAAGTTCTACTTTCAACACATAAAAAGCAAGAAAAAAGTCAAGGAGACAATCGGTGCACTGCTTTTGATAAGTTGAACTATTCTCTTCTTTTGTGCAAAGACAGATGCAAAGAATGAATTAAGCAGTTCCACTTTCTCCCTGCTACCTCTCACCGCCTTGCTAGGCCCTATCCAAAAAAAATGCAATTCAGTGTAGAGAAAAGTAAGGTTTTATACTTAGGCAAGAAAAACCAAATGCACAGGTTAGGTTAGGTAGTACAACAGCAGTAATTGTGAGAGGGACCTAGGTGTCCTAGTGGACAATCACTTAAATATGAGCCAGCAATGTGCTGCAGCTGCCAAAAAAAGCCAATGCAATCCTAGGCTATATCAACAGAGGGACAGAATCAAGATCACATGAAGTGTTAGTACCACTTTATACTGCGCTAGTGGAATACTACATCCAGTTCTGGTCACACGATATAAAAAAGATGTTGAAACTCTAGAAAGTGTGCAGAGAAGAGCAACAAAGATGATTTGGGGACTGGAAGCTAAAGCGTATGATGAATGTTTGCAGAACCTTGTATGTGTAGTATAATGAAAAGAAGGACTGGGGTGATATCATAGCAATCTTCCAATATTTGAGGGACTGTCACAGAAATGGGAGGCTACCACCATTCCGATATTATTGGACTACCTTTTAGACGGACTAAACGGGACTGTCTCACAATACCATCCGTAGGCAGATCGCAGCATTATCCACTGTCCTCATTTGCGAGGATCAGGTACAGCTATCTCATCATCCAGCTGTTACGGCCTTCCTTAAGGGAGCCGTTAATACAGGTCCCCCTGTAGTACACAGATATCCCACATGGGACCTGCCAAGGGTTCTGCAGGTTCTTACCAGTTCACCATTTGAACCCATCAGATCTTGTTCACTACACTTCCTTTCATTGAAAGTAGCCTTTTTGATAGCCATCACCTCAGCAAGACGCATCTCGGAACTTGCTGCACTCTCGATCAGGGAGGATCTTTGTGTTTTTCTGGATGACAGAGTGATCCTAAAATTGGACCCTTCTTTCCTTCCGAAAGTCAATACTAGCTTCCACAGGTATCAAGATCTGATTCTTCCGGACTTTTGTCCGCGACCTTCTCACTGTCTTGTAAGATTGTGGCATACATAGACGTACGCAGGGCTTTGCATCACTATGTGAAGCGAACCGCTGCATTTTGAAGATCGGAGGCCTTGTTTGTGTCTTTCCAACCTTCTTCCATGGGTCTGAAAGTATCATCCTCGACCATTGGTAGATGGAATAGGGCCTGCATCTCTCACGCTTACAGGACTCAGTCTCTTCCTGTTCCTCCTCACATCACTGCTCATTCTACATGTAGCGCTGCTACATCTGCGGCCTGGTCCACTCAGGCCTCGATTGAGAAAATTTGCAGGGCAGCCACCTGGACTTCCCCCTCTTCAGAGCACCTGAGGGCAAGACTAGAAGTAACAGATGGAAGCTTATCAAAGAGAGATCCAACCTATACTATGGAGAAGTTTCCTGACGGTGAGAACAATTAACCAGTGGAACAACCTGCCTCCAGAAGTTGTAGGTGCTCCATCACTGGAAGTTTTTAAGAAGAAATAGAATAGCCATTTTTCTGGAAAGGTATACGGTTTCCTACTCGAGCAGGGAGTTGGACTAGAAGACCTCCAAGGTCTGTTCTGTTCTATTCTGTTCTATTTTTGATATATACGAATTCTTAAATTTGGGATGTCTGAGTAATTAACACTACCTACTTTGCTTTACTTTGGACATGACAGTTGACAATTTATTTCATATCTTATTACTTCAAGAATTGCCGACTACCATTGTGGGTATGTCTTTCTTTTCAAGTAATTTTGACAGCACTCTGCCAGTTTTCTGTGACAAGCCTTCCTTGTGGATCCATTGCTAGAATTTTGTATGTTTAAGCATTTATTCTCTACTTTTATTTCCCTGGGCCATTTCATTTCTAGAACGTAAGGGATGTAAAGAGTGTGAATCTTTTGCACAGCAGAACAGTTGCTATAATAATTTTGTTACATTTTTTTAGAAATGACAGAAATTACATGGGTCATTGTATATTTTGTTGCTCCAGCAATGCTAAAAGTCTTACGTATATTCATTAGATATTGATGTGAAAGAACAAGTCTCGAGGTGACCAGACTGAAAGCATTGAGGATAATGTCTGGTTTAGAAAATTTACATCCAGGGGCTATCGAGTCTTCAACCTGTTGATTCAAAATGTTTGCTGCACAAGTAATCGACATTAAACATCTCCCTCAGAACCCATAAGCAAAGGGATATTTTTTTAAAGAATGATGCAAAGTAATTATGCTTTCACAGTGCAAAGATCATTTCAGTAATGTGTTTCAACTTAATAATAAACATTAAATTATCTGAAAAATAAAATGTGATATCCAGATAGTTAGTATTTCCTTTTGTTAAATTTAACTTTTTGAATGCTTTATGTTCATTAAGTATTTGGATGTTATGCTAAATTTGTTGTTAGTTGCAAAATCGTGTCCGACCCATCACAACCCCATAGACAACGTTCCTCCAGGCTTTCCTGTCCTCTACCACCTTCTGGAGTCCATTTAAGCTCACGCCTACTGCTTCAGTGACTCCATCCAGCCACCTCATTCTCTGTCGTCCCCTTATTCTATTGCCCTCAATCTTTCCCAGCATTAGGCTCTTCTCCAGTGAGTCCTTCCTTCTCATTAGGTGGCCAAAGTACTTGAGTTTCAACTTCAGGATCTGGCCTTCTAAAGAGCAGTCAGGGTTGATCTCCTCTACGACTGACCGGTTTGATCGCCTTGCAGTCCAGGGGACTCACAGGAGTCTTCTCCAGCAACATAGTTCAAAGGCCTCGATTCTTTTGCGCTCAGCCTTTCTTATGATCCTTCATGGATTACTGCCTTGTCGTGGTAAAGGGGCTTGTGTAACTCAAGCTATGAGCTATGCCGTACAGGGCCACCCAAGACAGACAGGTCATAGCAGAGAGTTCTGACAAAATGTGATCCAAAATGTGAAAGAATGTTGATAAAATTGTCCTGTTAGATACAGTAAATACATAGGTGGGTATTTTTGCATGCATGTATGTATTCTGCTTTTACTTAGGT